GCAAACAAACAAAAAAACTGAGAAGAAAGAAATTTTAAAGAAACCAAAAAAAAGTTTGCAGATCATGGTAATAAGGAGACTCGGCAGCTTAGCACATTAAAAAAAGTTAAAAAACAATCAAACAAAGAAACTAAGATGACAAAAAAATTAAAGACAAGTGCAGAACACGATTATGCTTGTCTTGTATGTTGGGAAACTTATTCTGAAAATCTACCAGAAGAAAATTGGATCCAGTGTCAAGGTTACAGTCAATGGTCTCATCCAAAATGTGATTCACATTCTGGTCAAAATTATATTTGTATTAACTGCAAAATGGAAATTGAAGACTAACATAAAGTGTTTAGCTATTATTTTATCATAGTTTTTATTATTTTCAATAATTTAAGTGTAAATTACTTTAAATTAAATTACTTTTTTACACAATTGCAAAAATTGTTGTCACAGGAATCACTAAAATAATTGCTATAATATTAATATATCTTTTTTTTATTAATAATTATTTTGCTTTTTTAATAGATAGTTGACTGATCATGATAATAAGTGAAAATGGCAAGAATAATATATAAAATAAATATCAGTATTTTTAGTTTTTATACACCCACAAGCCATATAATAAGTCAAGTATGCTGTCAAAAATTAGCTAGCAACACTTAAATTAAATATTATAATAACTAAGAGTAATTTATAATTGCTTTAAATTCTGTTTTGATATGTAATTGTTACCCACCCAGTAAGCACAAAGACGTTTAAAAGACGTTTTAAAGATGTCTTTAAGGAGGTCTAAAAGGCGCACTTGTAGACGTCTAGATCATAAGGCTAAAAGACGTCTAAATGAAGACGTCTTTATAAAAACGCGTTTTAGACGTATTTTGGACGTTTTTTTCAAGATGAAATTAAGAACATGACGTAACATTTTCGCGTAGTATGTGGTATATGTTCATTGTATTTATAAAATCATATTTTTTTTTTTTTTTTTTTTTTAACATCTTCACTTCCAACAAGGCTGCAAGCAACCACTATAAGAGTTGGAAGTTACTGGAAGAGAAAAGACTAAATCTGTAGAGCAAGATAACGATTGACTGATGACTTAAAAGATTGCAAATTATATGAATCAGGAAAGCAAGATGAAGGAAGCGAATTCCAAAGAACTGATGTTCGAGGAAAAAAACTAGAAGAATAAGAGTTTTTGAAGCACTTAGGAACAGTCACAGAAAAAGGATGAGACTTAATTGAATGGCGAGTAACACGAGAGTGAATTTTAGTAGATGGCACAAGGGACGCTAGCTCTTTAGAGCAGTGCCCATTATAATATTTGTAGAAAATTTGTAAAAAATATATTGTTATAGTTTCGTATATACAAAATATACATAGGTACCAGCAATCGAAATAATATTGCTGTAGTCACCACAAACGGTTGATGCATCAAGGATGAAATTAATATAAAACAATAACAATTATATATCAAAACAGTATTTTAAACATTTATAACTTATTTTCAGTTATAAAAAATTCTACATACATATTGCTAGCTAATTTTTGAGCGCATACTTGAATTATTATATGGCTTGTGGGTGTATAAAAACTAAAAATACTGATATTTAACTTATATATTATTCTTGCCATTTTCACTTATTATCATGATCAGTCAACTATCTATTAAAAAAGCAAAATAATTATTAATAAAAAAAAGATATATTAATATTATAGCAATTATTTTAGTGATTCCTGTGACAACAATTTTTGCAATTGTGTAAAAAAGTAATTTAATTTAAAATAATTTACACTTAAATTATTGAAAATAATAAAAACTATGTTTTTACTTTGAATATACGACATCTACTTAACGCGTAATGACAAAGCCGTCAAAAAGAAGTCATAATGACATATTTATAAACAGGTCTCAGAAAAGACGTCTTTTAGCCTTGATCTAGACGTCTTTTAATGCGTCTTTTAGACTATTTATTATGCGTCTTTTAAACGTCTTTTTAAACTTTAAAAAGACGCATTTTAAACGTCATTTTAAAATTGCATTTATTAAAGACGTCTAGAAGATGTCTTAAAAAAAGATATCTTCTAAACGTTTTTTTAACGCTTAAATAGACGCCTTTTAAACGTCATTTTAAAAACACCTTTATAAAAGACGTCTAGAAGATGTCTTAAAAATTGACGTCGTCTAGACGTCTTTTTATCTTTTAAAAAGACGTCTTTTAAACGTCATTTTAAAAACGCATTCATAAAAGACGTCTAAAAGATGTCTTCAAAACGTCTATAAAAGTGCGTCTTTACCTGGACTAGTTTTAGACGTCTATAAGTGTCTAAAATGCGTCTTGTGCTTACTGGGTATTGTTATTTATTATTTTCATCTTTGCATCATCAACCGTTGGTGGTGTTAGCTATATTATTTAGATTGCTGGTTCCTATGTATATTTTGTATATACGAATTTATAACAATATATGACGTATAAATACAATGAATATATACCACATACTACGCGAAAATGTTACGTCATGTACTTAAATTCATCTTAAAATAAACGTCTAAAATACGTCTAAAACGCGTTTATATAAAGACGTCTTTATTTGGACGTCTTTTAGCCTTATGATCTAGACGTCTACAAGTGCGCTTTATAGACCTCCTTAAAGACATCTTTAAAACGTCTTTTAAACGTCTTTGTGCTTACTGGGTTAGTTTTGATGTTCATATCTTAAATAATTTGTTAAAATTGAAAGTATATATTTAATTTTTAAGGAAGCTATGTTTTGGTTTTATTGTTTTGGAGTTAATAGTTGTCACACAAATGCATTTATTTTTTTATTGCTCAATATACCCCATGCAATTGCTCAACTTACCCCGCTGGGGTAGGTTGAGCAGCCTAATTAACTTTAGACTATATTTTCTAAAAAAAATCGAAAAAAGTTTTTTTGTCTCAACCATTTTTTAGCAGATCAAATTATCTTCCTAATAGTGAAAAAATTATGTTAATCCGATGTACCGTTCAAGAGATCTGTTAGATTTAGTAAAAATTGCCCAACTAGCCCCGCCTTACCCCAAATAACAGCAATTTAAAAAAATAATATTAAAAAAACAATTTTTTATATGGTTTCAGTAATGAAGATAAATATATCTTTTGAATATTAACAAAAACTTTAAACCAATTTAAACAAACATATAAAACTAAAAATATAAAATTAAAATGAAATTATATTATATAACTTAAAATAACATAATATTATAAATAGTTGAATAATCATAAATAAAGTTATAAATTACTAAATTTATTTAAATTAAAAAACTAAAATAAAATAGTTTAAGTTAACACTATGAAGGCTTTGTAAAGGTTTTTAATAAAAACTTTTTTAAAGTTTTTTAAAATTTAAAAAAATATTTTCTGCAATTGGTATAAATCAAATCACGAATAATATTAGTGTGGAGAATACTGCATATAATGATATTAGTGTGGAGAATACTGTATATAATGAGGAATAAAAAGCTAAACAATAAACTGTATTGTGCATTTAAACAATATTTTAACAAGATATTTTAAACAAAAAAGAAATGACTCATCAAAACTTTATAATCGTGAGTAAGTTCTATTTATAATTTCAACTAATAAAGCTGCAAAAAAAGTAGCAAGTTAAAGTTAATTCTATAAAAAGTTAAAGTATTCTACAAAATCATGATAAGCTTGATATATGTAATAGGTATGTTGGAGACATCACTCATTTTTAAGCAAAAGAGTATCTCACTTTTGTAAAACAAATTCCGCCAGACCTACGCATATTGGCTCGGTAAAAAAAATATCTTGCAAAAACTTCAAATAAGGTGAGGAATTTTAACCCTTTTTAAAATGTATTTTTTTTTAACGAAAAATTTGACTATAAATTTTATCTCATTTAAGTCTAAGCTAGACTGATGGATGAATCTTACAAAACAGATAAATAGCATCTCACAAGACTGATAGATAGATACAGTGTAAATATATCACAGATAGACACTGTAAATGAAATTTAATCATTTATTTACTAACTTTAGTGATGTTAAATTTTGTGAATTAATGTAAAATTATTTTAAAACATTTTAAAATAAAATTTAATATTTTTTTTATCTTTCACTCATAAAATAAAATAAAATCACGCAAAAAAAAAAAAAAAAAAAAAAAAAAAAAAAAAAACTTAAAAAAATTTGAACTTATCAAGTAAGATCACACGCGAAACTTTTTATTCATTCGTCATCAATCGAAAATAATAACAAAAAAAAAACATTTAAATTTGAATATTTCACTAATTTAAGGCATTCAAAATGAAAATTTTGTATGTTTTAATAATGCTTTAAAATGAAAAAAAGTAATTTATTTAAAATCATTACAAAAAGCATTATTCCACTTTCTTTAAAAAAAAACTTAGACAATATCTCGAAAAGATGGAGTTTTGTTGAATTTATAAATTCTTTATTACTTTTTAAAGCTTTCTTAAAAAATTGTATCTAAGCAAATCGGTGTGATTATTAAAAGGGTGAGTCTAATCGCACGCACATGTGAATAGACTATATCTTATAATAATAGACTATATCTTATGTCTATTCGCACGTTTGAAAATGAATTTCAAATTAGGTTTTTAATATGAAATCATAAACAAAAAATGTTTATAACTTAAGTCATTTTTTGAACGCAATTTAATTTTTTTTAGTCAATTATAATAAAAATAAAATTATAAATAAAATAAAATAAAATTACTTGAACATAATCAAATTTTTTTCAAAAAACAAACAAAAACGTGCCAATAGATAAAATAAACATTAAGAAATACTTCTTTTTTTTATTAAAAGTCCAAAACTCTCATCATTGTATTTATGCTTATCGCTGATAAGCAGTCAATATGTGTATGCACTACGGTGCGCATATCCTTCAAAAGTCAGCCAACGTAAGTACTGCGTAAGTACTCCACTGAGCTTGTTTAATTTTAAAGTTAAAAACCAATAATAATAAATCTAATCTTTTTAAATTCCCTTTAATTTCGATGATCTTTACGTTTTTTTAATCAAACATACGAATAGACCATAATTAAATATCTATTCGCACGTGAAAAATGTGCAAATAGACACACCGTTATTAAAAATTCATTTAAAAAAAAGAATCTTTCTTCAACATTGCACTAATTTACAAAAATAAATCAAAATTTGAATAAACTAGTATCGGAGCTATTTCTGTTTTAAATGGACAATATACTTGAGAAAATGATATTCGATAATATGAGCGATATACTAAAGAAACTGTTATTTAAGAGACAGTACCACCTTCATCTGTATTCAGATATTGAAACAAGGGTTTAGAAAACAAATATGTTCTATGTGGACTGGTCCTGCATACTGTAAGTGTTCTATCACGTATCTATCACGTATTCACTGCTATTTAGACGCACTTACGGAATATTTGAACCTATAAAACAAATACCTTTGATAACGAAGTCTATGATGAATATTTACATCATTTCTAATTTAACATAATATTAGTATCATTATATATTGTTATTATATATATATATATATATATATATATATATATATATATATATATATATATATATATATATATATATATATATATATATATATCACGTATTCACTGCTATTTAGACGCACTTATGGAATATTTGAACCTATAAAACAAATACCTTTGATAACGAAGTCTATGATGAATATTTACAGAAAGAAAAAAATGAGTAAGAAATTTTGTTACTTAAAAAGTTTTAATGTTTAACATTTTCATATACTTTAAATATATGATGTAATATATAAACTTGAACAATAATTTCAATGCGCTGAAGTTTTATCAAAGTCGTCACTGAATAAAGTATGCACACCACCGTTGTGAGTTGAAATCAAGACCCATGAAATTATAAATCTAAACTTCTAATTTAACATAATATTAGTATCATTATTAATTTCTTGCTTAAGAAACTTTAATCTTAAATAAACTTTAAAAATATGTCTTTGATATTAAACATGTAAACCTTAGGTTATACACTTAGGTTATACAAAGACTTTTAAATAAGATTTTGCTTTAACTCGAGCTATAGTAAGGAACAAACCAAAGTTAATGTTAACAAATCAAATGGATTTTTTTGTTGGGTAAGAGAACATCAACTTCATTTCTTGTTTGAACTCAGGTAGTTCGTTCAAGAAATGATGACCACATGACAAAAAATTTTAGAAGATTTATATTATTATCTGTATTAATGTAAAGACTTGGATTAAATTGCATCTCAGCCGCCGAATCTCAAGGGATAGCAGATTTAGTATTTTTAGTTATTGTTAATTGGTGGTGTTTTACAGATGTAACTGCTTTTTTAATTTTTTTTGATACTTTAATAAAGTAGTTGTTAATTAACAAATTGTTATAAATTTTAAGAAATTTCATGGCAAGTCATCTTGCCCCGCTCATGTGTTTATTTGACAAACTTATGAATTTATATTTAATTTTTATTACAAATTTTTCTACTTGCAAATCGAAAACTCATGAAGGCAGCAAATCATTATGATAAAACAAACATACTGACAAAATAATAATTCTTTATGACTGACAGTTTTGCAATAACTAAGAACTTTAAAAACATTCGCAATTTTGCCCCCTTCTTCCTTACCAAACTGCTAAGTGGTTACTGAAAATGTTCAACAGATTTTAAACACAAATTTTTAGAAAAAAGGTGTATTGTATTTATTTTCAAATAAATTTACTCTGAATAATTAAAAAAATTTAAAAAAAGTTTTAAAGAATATGGAAAATTACTTCTTATCAATTCAGTAAACCGACTCTTTCTTTAACAAAAAACAAAACAAAACAAAAAAAAAAACAGAAATTTGTTTTTATATTAGGAAAGTATCTTTTTGTAAAAATAATAATTTTTACATTTTTGAGCCTAAAATAAAGATAATCTAATCAAATCTAGCAATACTTAAAATAAAGTTAATCAAACCAAATCTTAAAAAAATAAGCTTTGTTAAAAAAGATGTAATATACAAAATGGTTACGATTTTATATATTTATGTATATACTATACTATAACCTTGATATAAATTTTAAAATATCTAGATTTATTTAATTTAATAACTAACTATGTACTTCATCATAACTGAATAACTGCGTTAATTCTATGCACCTCTCACTTTCAATTGAATCTATTAAGTTTTGTAAAAAGATTTAACATTATTTAACTAGAGTTTTATTACTCTTAGACTATAAACGTATTCAACTTTTCATAAATAAAAGAAGAACTTTACTTGTTTTGATAATGTGGATTTTACCGCTTTTGGTTTTCTACATACGCAACACCGGGTAAAATTGTTTTTGCAAAATTGAAACTTTATACAAAACTTTATAGTGATTTTTTTAACTTTTTTTTTTAGAAAAATTAACAATTGTATTTGCTTGAAACACAAACTACAAACAACTTGAAACAAAAAGCAACTTGAAACAAAAACAACTTGAAACAAAAAACAACTTGAAACAAAAATCAAATTGAAACAAACAACAATTTGAAACAAAAAACAACTTGAAACAAAAAACAACTTGAAACAAAAAACAACTTGAAACAAAAAAGACAATTTAAACAAAAAATAACTTGAAACAAAAATAACTTGAAACAAAATACAATTTGAAACAAAAAACAACTTGAAACAAAAAACAACTTGAAACAAAAGACAATTTGAAACAAAAAACAACTTGAAACAAAAAACAACTTGAAACAAAAAACAACTTGTAACAAAAAACAACTTGTAACAAAAAACAACTTGTAACAAAAAATAACTTGAAACAAAAAACGACTTGAAACAAAATACAATTTGAAACAAAAAACTACTTGTAACAAAAAACAACTTGAAATAAAAAATAACTTGAAACAAAAAACAACTTGAAACAAAAAACACCTTGAAACAAAAAACAACTTGTAACAAAAAACAGCTTATAACAAAAATTAAATTGAAATAAAATACAACTTGAAACAAAAAGCAACTTGTAAGAAAATTCAACTTGTAAGAAAAAACAACTTGAAACAAAAAACAACTTGAAACAAAAAACAACTTGAAACAAAAAGCAACTTGAAACAAAAAGCAACTTGAAACAAAAAGCAACCTGAAACAAAAACACAACTTGAAACTAAAAACAACTTGAAACAAAAAACAACTTGTAAGAAAAAAACAACTTGAAACAAAAAACAACTTGAAACAAAAAACAACTTGAAACAAAAAACAACTTGAAACAAAAAACTACTTGTAACAAAAAACAACTTATAACTAAAAATAAATTGAAATAAAATACAACTTGAAATAAAAAACAACTTGAAACAAAAAACAACTTGAAACAAATAACAACTTGAAACAAAAAACAACTTGAAACAAATAACAACTTGAAACAAAAAACAACTTAAAACAAATAACAACTTGAAACTAGATAATTATTAAGTAGAAAAACGTTTTGCTTAAAAATAATAATAAATTATTTTTTCATTTTTTAGGAAAAACAGTTTAACTCTATATGGAAAAATACTTCAAAGCAATTCTTCTTTTATCAATAATGAATTTGAAAAAAAATCAAGTAGCAAACAAAGCAACGGCAATCCAGCTATTTATTACATAGCAATTAAGGCTATTTATCCACCGTCAGTCAGTTCATCATCTGTTAATACCAAATCTGCCAAACAATTACCTGATATTTTTCCTTCTAGCAATCTAGCATTAAAAAATCTAGTTAATGACAGCTTATCATATAGAAAATCAGAATTTGAAATTCCAGCATCTTTAAACCCATCTAAAAACTCTTTACCCAGCATTTCAATAAGCAATAATGTAAATCATGCTAGTTCCTCATCTAGAGATGTAATACATTTTCAAGTTCGGTATGACATATTTTCGTCTAATGTATGTAAAATCTAATATATATTTATATTTGACTATCAGTAGAAAATTAATTATATAAAAAATAATTTTTAATATGTTCTTACTTTTATATACACAAATTTTTTTCTATATAAGGTACCAGGAAAAATAGACATAGTGTAAAAAAATATTGATATACTTGAACCTTTTTACATAGTTTGATGTTAACTGTGACTTTCTCACATTACATTGTTTGATGTTAACTGTGACTTTCTCATTTTTATTTTAGAGAAAATCTAATAACAACAAATCAAAATGTGATTTTTTTAAAGACCCACAAAACAGGTTCTTCTACTGTTACAAACATATTGCAAAGATATGCATTGTCACACCACTTAAATGTTGCACTTCCTCGGTGTGATCACAGATTTTGTTATCCAAATAAATTTGAAGAAGCTTATTTATATGAACACCAATCAGGAGAGTTATATAATATATTGTTTAATCATGCAGTGTTTCATAAAGAGAAAATGCTTCAAATTATGTCTTCCGATGTTACAAAAATAATTACGATAATAAGGGAACCATTTTCGCAGTTTGACTCTGCTGTACAATACTTAAACTTCAGAAAGTATTTCAATTTGAGTAGTGATTTACCATTATTAGACGAATTTTTTAAAATTCCAGTAGAGCATTTAAAAAGATACATCCAATCCGTTAGTTTAAATGAAGGAGAAGGTGCTTTCGCTTTGGCTAAAAATCCAAATGCATTTGATCTTGGATTTGACGTTTGGAATGAAACACCTGAATACATTGAATATGTATTACACTCACTTACTCAAGACTTTAGCCTTATAATGATCATGGAATACATGGAAGAGTCATTAGTTTTGCTGAAAAACGAAATGAATTGGGAATTGGAGGATGTATTATTTTACGCTCTTAATGCAAGGAGTTTTAAAGAAAAAAGCACAATTAACTTTGAAGTTGCTAAAGAAAAGGTTTTGAGCTGGAATAAACTTGACGCTGCAATTTACAAGTATTTTAATGAAACATTTTGGTTAAAAATAAAAAATAGCCCCTCTGAATTTTACTTAGAAGTAAATAAATTAAAAGAATGGAATATTGATTTAGTAAATCATTGTAATGGATTGGTAACAGCAACATCACTATTGTTAGTACAAAAGTATCGTCAAATGTCAAGTTCTACTTTATGTGCGGATGTTTTTCGAGATGATATTTTATTTACGACACAATTTAAGAGTATGCGGTATATAAGAGTTAATGCAAAATTTTAAAACTATACAAAAAATTGAAAAATTCCTTATACATCTGTTGTACATAAATTAATTTATAGATTCAAACTTGATTTTTAAGATTCTAACAAAGCTACACTTTCTTTATTTTTAAACAAACATATATTGGGTAGATTAGGGTAATATGAGCACCTTAAGCAAAAATTGGAATATTTTCAAAAGTAATTATGCTGGATCCAAAACTTTTGCAAATAAACAATTTTTAGGGATCACTAATCATAATCCACTTAGATATTTGGGCACTCGAAATTTTTTTTTAAAAACACAGAGGTTTTAAAAAACTAGCCAAAGTGCTCATATTACCCAGCTGCCGTATTCACGTCTCTCCGTTAAACCCTGCGTAAAGCTAACGGTTGGGTTTATATTTAACGGCAGTTTTAACACCAGAGTTAAAATAAATTCGTATTCTCGTGTCCTCCGTTCAGTTAAAATAAAGTTAACGGAAGATAGTTAACGGTAAAATCTAACTATTTACTTAGATTTTACCGTTATCTATCTTTTTTATGTTGATTTTAGGTGCCCCAAGAAGTCCTTACGGTCTTATCACAGAGCACCGCTGAAGAGCATTTAATAGGAAGTTCACGCCTCCTTCCCAACCGATGTCGCAAAACTTGCCCAGAGGTGAGGTTTGAACCACAGGTCTTACGTTTCTGAGGCAAGTGTGCTACCACTGCGCCACGGCTGCTTGATTCTTCCGTTAACTTTACAGTTAACTGTACAGTTAAAACCGAAACTACAGTTAAAACCCTACAATTAAAACCGAAAACGGAGAGATTTTCTGAAATATTAAAAATGGTATTCAAGCAATATAATATGTTGAGTTTTTCTCATCAATAACAGCTGAATAAACTGTTTATTATTTGTTTTACATGCAACAAACAAGTTTAGTTTCAGGCTAAATAATTTATATTATGTACTGTACAATATTTACATCATTGAACTGTTAATGTATACTAATTAGACATTTATTATACTTTAAAATACATGTTGTGTTATCGCATGAAATACTAAAATCGCTACATTTTACTTATATTGTTTTTAATATACGTACTGTAATATAAATATATATATATATATATATATATATATATATATATATATATATATATATATATATATATATATATATATATATATATATATATATATATATATATATATATATATATATATATATATATATATATATATATATATATATAAATTTGATTTGTTAACGGTAGCTGATTTGAATATCTCAAATACAAAACAATATTTTAAAAGCAAAACAACGTGGAGATCAATTTACCATAACTAATAATAATTTTAGCAATTGTTCCACAGAAAAAAACTAAAAACTTAGGTTCCTTTTATTAAACAACTTTTGTCTCTTTAAATTTATATTTATTAAATAAATTTATTTACAGAGCATGTTTTTTTAATTTGCGATGATTTTCTGAAAATATATACACATTAATATTTGTTTTCATTTTTTAATCTTCAAGTTTAATAAAAAATTAATTAATCAGTATTGTAAAAACATATAAATTGGAAAAGAATCCGAATTAAAGACAAATGGACATAAAATTGGAAAAATTATTTTTAAGCAAAAGTAAATTAAAAAAAAAAATTATTTCATATGTTCATGTTATTATATAAAAATTATTTCAAAATAATGAACAATAAATTGAAATTTAATTATTTAAAAATTGAACATTCTTCGTTTTTTTTTTTTTTAATAAGTTTTCCTTTAATAAAAGTATTTTTTCTTTTATAGATGCATTTCTTTTTTCCAAGTCGACTAACTTCTTTTTAGAAATGAAATAATCTCTTTCAGCTTGTAGCTCTAAAACTTCTATAAGTTTTAACTTCCCCTCTGTAATGTAACTCTCCATATCGACAGTTGACAGGTGTAGAGCTGGAGTTCTTTTTTTCTTTGTTCCTCACGAAGATATTTTGTTTTTACTAGAATGTTTGATTTTTCCTTAATTATTTTCTTTGTCACTCTTTTCATCTGCAGTTACAGTGTTTGGATTTGCACTATTTGTAGCATCAATCACAACTGGCATGGCGGAAATCTTAATATCTGATACAACCTCAATGTCATTGGTTTTCACACCTTCCAACCCTAAAAATATTGGAGAATCTTCTCCGTATATAGCTAATATTTTCTGGCTTATTCCTGATAAAATAACCGCTGGGCCTCCTCTCGTTGGAATTTTTTGTTGTTACAGAAATCTCTTTTTTTACAGTTTTTAGAAGATTATCCCATAAACTTTTCACGCTCGAAACTGTTCTTTTACTGTGTTTTCGTTGGTTGCGCCCTATTTAAATCTAACTACATCATCTCAGCGTAGATATAATTTATCTTTAAGAAAAACATGGGTTATAATTGAACAAGTATTTGGAATGTGGAAAAGACGCTTTTATTTGCTTCATGGTAAAATTCGAATGACCCCTGAAAGAACCTGTACCTTAATTGTTGCGTGCGCAGTAATGCATAATTTCGCAATACAGTTAAATGACGGAGACATGGACGAAAATCCAATCGAAAATGATGAAAATGATTATGAAGATATAGTTTCTGAAAATAATTTCCAATTTCGTGATGATTTTGCTTTGCAACATTTTTGACAATAATTTTTTGAATAAATTTACTAATTTTCAAATTCGTTTTTTATAATAATAAATGTTTTGTTAATTTTGTATTTGTTGTTAATTTGAGATGGAGTTGTATAGAGCAACTCCATTTCATGGTATAGTGTAACTCCAATTCAATTTTTTTTGATGGTGTTAATATATAATTTTTTTTTTTTCTTTTCCAAAATAATATGTTAAAGGTAAGTTTACATTGGATATATTACTGATAGGACTTCCAGAAGATCACACGATCTTATCATGAAGCCCTTTACAATCTATATCACGAGTTAAAATAAATATATAAATTTACAAATATTTAAAACAATTTTTAAATGCGATACCATTTAGGACACCAAGGACAATTTTTATTGATTCTTTGTTCATACTTCCTATTGCTCAGTTTTTGTTCTTAATTTATAAATTCTCTTTTTTTTTTGTGAGAAAAAAAAGAAGACAGTATTTGCATTGAAAGACGTATCTTGGAGGACATATATCTTGGAAGAAGTCTTTTATTGACTTCCAAGACTATTAACTACTTTCTTGTAAAGATGGTTTATTTTTCACAATCTTGTGTGTGGTTGTTGTCTTATTATTAAAATTGTTCTCAATGCAAAAGCTTATAAAATATTAACTTATTTTTATTTAATTAATTTGTCATATAATAATATTTACAATATCATTTCAAGAGGCCCAAAACTAAAATTATTTTTAACTTTATTAACATAGCTGTATTAGCGCAGTGGTTAGAGTTCTGGCTTGGAGCCCAGAGGTCCGAGGCTCGACATCGGCTTTAGCCCAATAGGCAACGTTGGTATGGAAGGGGGAGTGAAATTCATAGTTAAATTTTATTCCACGGTGCTCTGTGATAAGACCGTAAGGACTTCTGGGAGCACTTTAATAACTACAACAAAAAAAAAAAGAGAAGAAAAAACAGCATTACAATGCTAAAAAAACCTCTATACAATAGCGTAGAAATATGTTGATAAAAATTTTCAAGTTTTTGTATTGTTTTAGTTCTGAGCTTTGTGAAAAGATAATTGCAATCTTCTTGAAGTCCTTCCAATACTATGTTATAAATTTTAAATATTATTGTAACTACTATTTTAAATAAAATTATGCGCAATTAATCCGTTAAAATACAAACTTATATTCTGCTATTTGCAATATCCGTTCATGTTATGTGAATGGAAATTTTCTATGTTTGCAAAAGAATTTTCAATTACAAAAATTGAAATAAAAAATACGTTTGAGCGGTAACTATAACAGTATTTGTAGAAAAGAGAAAGAGGTGTAGAGTTCCTAGCTCGACGTCATAAATTATTTCATGACGGCGAGCTAGAAACAGTGAATAGGATAATAGAATCATAAAACTCTCGCGCTATAATCGACAAAAGCATTTTATATGTGCGGGGGAGGGGGCAGAAGGGGTTATACCCCTCCCTCCAATAGACTCTAGATAATTGGTATCAAGTCTTGGTTTATCGTCTGGTATTGGTGCGTTGGTGCAATACTTTACAGTATCGGTATTGAGATCAAACGATACTGGTATCGAAAGTATACTAATACTTTCGATACCAGTGTGTTGGTATCGCATATATGATGGTATCATTTGGTACCGATACCAAAAGTATCATTTGGTATCGCAGCTCGGGTCTTTACAAGAATTTGTATTTTATTTTTATAAACAATTTGTAATTTGAAATAATAAACTATATAATAACTAAGATGTAGGGGAGTGTGGGAAGAAGTGGGACTATAATTAATATTTTGAGAATAATTTTAATATCTTTTTTATATTATGTATGTACAGCACCAAACAAGTTTTAACAAATAACTCATCATTTCGGGCACTGATTCCATACTCTAAGATTGATAACTGTATAATAAATTATAAACTTTACAATATCGTTTTTTTAATTTTAGAGGAACTGTGCTACTGGGATAAAGTGGGACAGCCATGAGGTTAAATGGAACAAGCAAGTAGTTAACAACATATTAACAAAATTTATTAATTAAAAACTATCCAAGTCTTAAACCACGTAATTCTCATCAAAATGTTTAAGAGATTTTTACAAAGTATTAAAAACAATATTATATGTGATATAGGTAGAAATAGGTCTGCTAAAATACTTAGCTTAGGTAAAAATTTCATGAAATTTTTACCTAAGCTAAGTATTTTAGCAGACAACTTATAGTTTCGGAATACTTTTCGTGCCGTGTTTCCATCATTTGTTGTACTTGAACCGCTGCTTTTTGGTACATCTACAATTAAACCTGATCAAAATTAAAAGTGATCTTTCATCTTTGGTTGAAGAATAATCTTTTTTTTTAACAATTTTTTTTTTATCCTCTCTTCTAATTTGCCATTATCCTAATTCAATTCTATAACTTATATGAAGGCAGCATTCAAAGCACTTAGTCCATGCATGTAATGTGCTTAATCTAAGCTCAGTGGAA